AAAAGTGAAAATGGTTATGATTAGCCTTGCGGTTTCTTAATTTAGTAACTGACGATTTTTATTTTGACGAAGTTAGACAAAACTCAACGCCAAATGCTTATAAATATTAATCAACAAAGTTCTTTCTTTCTACTCAATGCTTATCACACTACTAGTTGTTTATATCTAAATGTCATCTTTTCTCAGCAGCTTGAATTTTGATTGGCGTCTATATTTTACTTATTAAATAAATCGCAAAAAAATCGAACAAAAATCCCAGGTGTTAAAGGAATAAAAGGCCTGAGGAATAAATACGAATCAGGGTTTATGCAACACGTGTAGTTTTTAATGAATGGTTGTGAGATTCAACATAATAAATAAAGAAATAATGGATTTACCCACTAATAAGTATGTTTTAAAGTCATATTCGTATTAATAATTATCGTTGCCGTTTATATGGTAGATATAAAACATTAAATGGTTTAACAAATTTGTCAAAACAGACAACGAAAAGACGAACGAAAAAAATTGGCATTTTCTGTTATTATGTGTTATATATTTTCCATTTCCATTCCATAGGGAAAAAATATGTTTTTACCTGCTTTCTTTTGGATCCCTCATTATACACCACACAGAGGAGAACTTTCAACTTTTGCATTACACTTTTTTTTTATTCCGAAGAAAAATGTCAGGGCGGGTGATCATTTATAATGGATCAGTGTGTGCCTCAGCTACTCGTTTAAAATCAACCTTAAAGGTAAACATTCCATTTCCAGTTCCAGTTTGATCTGTGCGTCAGGTAAAAAAAAATTACTTTCGCTGGCATTAACGGCTGCAGTGTATTTTCGGTAAATTCGATTAATATGCCGTTAAGGTAATTTGTCTTGTATCTTGATTTACGACCTATCGCGTTTTGTTCTCTTCTAAACATAAATCAACCAAGTTCGGAATGTAGCGTTACCAAATGGCGCGCGATGGTCTTTTTTTTCCGCCGAGCTTAATAATGGACAAGTAAACAACTTTGACATGAAATATATTTGCTCGTTCATCTTGCCCGGGGAATCAGTCAACTTTTTACCGAGACAGAAACATTACGTTTTTAGTGCGGTTTTGTGGCGGAGGAGTGTAGTTAAGTAACAAGCTCCTTTGAACTCTATATTTTTTACTTCTCACGCGTCCACTATTCGGCCACCGTGTTTATGGTCGCCTCATTCGTTGCCAATTCGAGATGATTTCTCTGGTCCAAATAATAGGGCCTTGGCATTAATCTGAAGATATATAGGTTATTGTTAATCTTGCATAATATATAATTTCGTGAAAATCTGAACTTTTAGTTCTTATTTATTTCGATAAATGGATTTTCATCGAGTAAAAGCCATCTCAGTTCAAGAAATATAATTAATAAATAATAATAAAGTCAACAGGTTGATTGGCCGCAGGATGGCGTTTTCTCTACCTTGATTTTTTATTAAATTAATTTTAAGAATAATCATGTCAAACTATGAACTCAATCTAGTTTATGCAAAGTAAAACCTACAGTTGCGACCCAGTATGTCAATAGGTTTTGCTTGACGAAGCTGATTATCACTGTGTAGCCCAAGCACTTTTGTATCAGAAACTTGAGATATAGACCCAACGTAACTTTCATCAAATTGTGCGAACCTTGATGTTAAATTGATAAAAACCGTTTTGTATTAAAATTAATTGTAGGTAACCAACCATAGGTAGCAGTTATCATCCGCAAAAGCGGCCAAACATCCGACGTGTGTTGTGGGACGTCTAAGCTAATACTTTTTCTTCACTTTGCATGGAGAATGCATTGAGAATAGTCATAGTCATAGTCATATCTTAATTTTTGCTCATAAATCCAAAGATTCAGAATTGCAACAAAATTAAATAGGGCGTTCCCTTCGAAATGACAAAATTGTGAGGTGTAACGCAAAACTGAAAACTAACTAAAACTAACCAAACATTGCTGTTGTATTATATTGAATCTTATCGTTCCAGCTTTATTGGTTTTACTAACCCGGTATATTACCTTCATTTATTTAACCTCTGTGAGCCGTGATCCCAATATAACCTGTTACATATCCCTGCAATTTTATCCCCCCGGTCTGTTAGGTTTGTATTTCGAATTTATTCAATGTTTAAAAATTTCTTATTCGAAATAAATAATAAATGTTTATTTCTTTCTTCTTCCAAGTTCTAAATCTAAAATCAGAAGTAAACAAAATAAAACTCTATGTGGAGTCGAGTTTTCATCTCACCTCGTATATCTCTTGGAGCGGAGTGCATTTTTGTAAATCGCTCTTATTAATGTAAACATCAATTATGTTTCTATAATTTCATTCATCTTTACAAAACGTCTTTGGTTATTCTTCTTCTTCATCTTGGGTTCCTCTTCTTTTCGTTTCTATGGGATCGTATCTTTGGTTATGTTGTTTAACAGCTCCCTAGATTTGCATAGTTCGTATTTGTTACTGGACGGGTTCAGTACCTTGGAGTTTGGTCCATAGAGGAAGATTGTGAAATGAAAGTTTTAATTGACCTTCAAATACATTAACGATTTGGTAGTACCTATTTATCAAATCCTCTATAAGACAACCTGCAAGTTGGAGTCGATGCATGTTTTGATTGATTAATTATTTAAAAATACGCGATTCAGTTTACTTATCTGTGATAACTACAATAATAAAAATACGAACTAGCCAAGACTCACTCCTAGAGAGTTTTCGTTGTCAAACTAGTTAAAAGTTTTGGAATGCAAATGCATTCCAGACAAGCAGTTTTTAGTTAGGATGACAAGGTGAAATAATGTTGACAGTTTCGGGAATAGGGAATTTAGTAAAAAGGGATTCTAATGTAAAGGCTTTTAATTTAATTAATAAATTTTGCTTGTAACATGAATGTAACAAAATCCCTAGACTCTTTGTAGCGCCTTTGAACCTAATCAACTTCAAAATAGAGAAATCTAAAAGCCTGAAATTTTCGTAGTATGCTTTAATGATGAAATGGTCCCGAATTAAACGAAGAAAAGCTGCAAAAGCGAATGTCGCAAACAAGTCCATTCATGTGTGACTGGGCTCCTGACTGTATCTATATTTAATTCATTAGGGACAATTTGGGGACATTAGAAAGCAAAAGGCGATGGGGAACGTTCGTCTAGTTTTTTCACCGACTGCGCTTTCAGTGTTACTACTCTAGCCATCTAATTCCCTGAATTGTAGCGAAATTAGAGACAAACGCCGGCGGTCATCGTATAAGTCTCTTTAATTGGAAACGTTATGAATGTAAAATTGTCAAACGCGTGATCATAAACCAGCGTAATAGAGCCATAAATTACACCGCGGATATATAGGACTTCTTGGACGGGAATTTCCGAGAAGCTGTCTTGTATCTCTTCCCGAGTTTGCTTTAATTGTTTCGGAGTGGACATACCGCCGAGTGGTTCTTTTTTTCCCGGTGCGACCGATCGGATACATTCTCAGACGTTATTTATAACGTTTCGTTTGATGAGCTCCGCAATTAATATCCATTAAGTCCTCTTTTTCGGTTGATTTTTCTGGGTTCGCCGAATAATTATTGCTTAGGGTATTGTTAAGTGGTGTTTAAACTCCTAAGGGAGAGGAAACTTTATACGGGTCAGAAGACGCGGGCTAGTTTCGATCAAATTTAAATTCAAGTGAATATTCCGTAAACTGTAAACTCCTGACATCTCAAACGGAACGTTTTCTTTTATCAAAATCCCTTCTAACTCAACACTTTTGCCTTTTGATGTACAAAACTTATTTTCCAGTATTCCACCTCAATCGGAAACAGGTTTAGCCATTGGTGAAACAAGATTTATTAGATTGCTTAATAGTATCTTTAGACCAGAATTATTTTGAATTTAATGGACAGATTTACATCTCCAAGGAAGGTTTGATTATGGGAAACCCACTTAGTCCTTTGTTAGCCGAGATTTTTATGGATAATAAGTAAAAGTTTTCTATGGTGGTATAGATACGTGGATGATGTCTTTGCTTGCTTCGTTGGAACAGACAACTGAATTCTTTTTTAAATTACATTAACTCGTTACATAATAAATAATAGAATTTTCGTATGCACGAGTGAACATTTCTGAAATTTTTACTGTGATTCAGTTGATAAGACGTTAATAGAGAGCCCCTGGAAACCCAATGCAAAAAGAAATCGTCAATATCGACAAGAATGGAGCGGGTCAACAGTTACTGCGCAAAGCACAAATGCCCTTCTTCTTCTCAACCTAAGAAGTTCTACACTTCACTGCTATTCGTTAAATACTTGGGACACGCTGTACGTGAACATTAATATATATTTGTCCTTTTCTCATGAGCGTTTGCCCTTCACCTTGTTTCTCGAGCGGCCATTTTAAATACCCTGCGGGTTAGAAGAAAGATTGTCCGCTATTATCCGTCAT